CTGTTTGAAGATAAACAGATGGAAGAATTCAAAGACTATTGTATGAAATGCTATTTTTTAAAAAAAGTTAATTTTATAAGAAATAGGCGGGGCACAGTGGTGCACATTTGTAATCCCAGCACTTTGGGAAGCTGAGGTGGGTGGATCACAACAAGGTCAAGAAATCCAGACCAGCCTGGCCAACATGGTGAAACCCCATGTCTACTAAAATTACAAAAATTAACTGGGCCTAGGGGGCGCGTGCTTGTAGTCCCAGCTGCTCGGGAGGCTGAGGCAGGAGAGTCGCTTGAACCAGGAGGCAGAGGTTGTAGTGAGCCAAGATTGTGCCACTGCACTGCAGCCTGGTAACAGAGCAAGATTCCATCTCAAAAAAAGAAAAAAGAAATAAACTGAAAGGAAAGGAATTGTTAAATATAATAGTTCTTTTAACATAAATGTTTATAAATTTTTTAAAATTAAGAAACACATCTGTCAGAAGTGGCTGTTATCCTGTTATTTTAATATGTGTTTCGGTTTGATGGTATTGATTCTATTCTGTGAAAATGGCTTGGGCTGAGTGTTGGAATTGAATGTAGTCCTTTCCGCACTCAATAGAAAGGAGGGGGGAACGCTGAGAAATGGTAATTACTTGTACCTCACATCTTTTGCCAGATTTATATTCTTCTCCTTTGGGCCTTAACCTTTCTCCCAAGAAAGCAGCACAGTTCCTGAAACACGGCCCTCTGCTGAGGTCCCGTGGCATAGTACGTAATGAGGGACTTATAGACACGGAGTTTTCCCAGGGTTATCTGTTTACCCCCTTCATTTTACTTCTCTCCATACACACTAAAGGATGCTAGAATTCTTTGGAATTAGCCATGCCTGGCTAATTTTTGTATTTTTAGTAGAGACGTGGTTTCACCATGTTGGCCAGGCTGGTCTCGAACTTCTGACCCCATGCATGATCCAATTACAGGCATGAGCCACTGCGCCAGGCCCAGAAGTGTTCATTGAATAGTCCACATGTCCCCTCTGAATTGAAATATACAAATAGCTTTTATCATCTGCTAAGCTTTGTGATTTTGTGTCTAGATTATTTTATCTGTTTCATTGACCTATTTGTCCATTATTAGCCTATATCACGTTGTTTCAGTTATTATAATTTCTTTTTGCTGTCTCATAAAGTAAGTTCTTCTTCATTCTCTCCTTTGATTGTATTTAGTATTTTGCTATTAAGAATATTATTGATAGGCTGGTGTCTCACACCTGTAATCCCAGCACTTTGGGAGACCGAGGCAGGATTGCTTGAACCCAGGAGTTTGAGACCATCATGGACAATACAGTGAAACCTCATCTCTACTTTAAAAAAAAAAAAAAAAAAAAAAAATTAGCCAGGCATGGTGGCATGTGCCTGTAGTCCCAGCTACTAAGGAGGCTGAGGTGAGAGGATTGCTATAGCCCAGGAGGTTGAGGCTGCATTGAGCTGTGATAATACCACTGCACTCCAGCCTGGACGAGAGTGAGGTCTTGTCTCAAAAAACAAACAAACACAATACTGCTGATAGTGTACATTCTTGCACATTGATTGATTGATTGATTGATTGAGACAGAGTCTTGCTCTGTTGCCGATGCTGGAGTGCATTGGTGCAATCTCTGCTCATTGCAACCTCCACCTCCCAGGTTCAAGCAGTTCTGCTGTCTTACCCTCCTAAGTAGCTGGGACTGCAGGCGCACACCACCATACCAACTAATTTTTGTATTTTCAGTAGAGATGGAGTTTCACCATACTGGTTGGGCTGGTCTCGAATTCCTGACTGCAGATGATCCATCTACCTGGGCCTCCCAAAGTGCTGGGGTTACAGGCATGAGCCATCGTGCCTGGCCCTGCCCAGCATTTCTGTTGTCTTAGGCCGTAAGAAGAATATATGGTTTATATAAATCCCAGATAGCAGCCATTGTTATTGTTGTGTAGTTAGTGTTTAGATTTTTTCCGATGTACTGTGTGTACCAGTATTTTGACATAATCATTTATTGCCTCTCAGACCTTCTGTCTGCATGTCTTTTTAACCTTATATAAATGTCATTTTGCATGTATTTTTGCTGCTTGATTGTTTTGTGTTGTTTTGTTTGAGACGGAGTTTCCCTCTTGTTGCCCAGGTGTATTGGCTCACTGCAACCTCTGCCTCCTGGGTTCAAGCAATTCTCCTGCCTCACCCAAGTAGCTGAGATGGCAGGCATGCGCCACCACGCCCAGCTAATTTTTTTTGTATTTTTAGTGGAGATGGGGTTTCACCATGTTGGCCAGGCTAGTCTCGAACTCCTGACCTTAGGTGATCCACCTGCTTCAGCCTCCCAAAGTGCTGGGATTATAGACGTGAGCCACTGTGCCCAGCTGCTTTTATTGTTTAATAATATATTCTGACATTCATTCATATTGTTGCATGTAGCTGTGATTCATTCTCATCACTCCATTGAGTTTTTTCACCCATTGAGTTTTAATTTTAATTTTTCATTTTTAGAAATTTTTTTTCAAATCGACTTGATTTTTCTTTTGTAACATTTACAGTCTTATGAAGCTAAAGCACTGATTTACACAAATATATTAGTAATTTGCTTTCTAGTCTCTGAAGTCTTTGATAATCGGATTCTGCTGGCTATTGGTATCCTTGTGTGTTTTGTTATTTGGACTGTGAGCTTATTTTCTTTATTGCTTTAACTTTGAGAATTCTTTGAGATTCCACAGGATATGTGGTTGTTTCTGTAGGTTGCTTGGATCATTACCAACTTGAAAATACTTGATAATTAATTCTTATCTTGAGGATTTCATATAACATAGCTTGAATTCCGGCCACACATTTGTGTGAAAGAAAATATTCTTTTTCTAAGTAAGAGACTCGGAGCCATGGTTAGTGTGGACAGCTTTATTACTTTCCATCCTATACAATGAGTATTTTTCCTGCTCATCTTTAGGCGATATAGCCTGGTGAGGTTTAATGGCGTTTAGGGAAGGCTCTTATTAGTTCTCTTTGCCCTAGACTTTATCTCTTGCCCCTGGATCTTAGAGTGCCTAAAATAAGATCACGGTTCCCAGGACTGGATTTGATAGCTAACCAACTCAGTCATTCAGAAAGATGATTCTGTATTTTTACTAATATTTTTCGTTGTTTATGATGGGAGTAGTCATTCTGGGAACCTGATCTTCTAAATGTAAGACAATTTATATATTTTCTATCTAGCAACAGATATGTACAAAACTCAATTTCTGAGGTTTCTGTGAATTTACACATTTTTCTGCCCCTTTACTGAAGAAATAATTTTTTTTTCTAGTTTTCTGG